ACATCAAACCTTTCTGGTTTTTAGAGGCTGGAACATGCGATCAAACTGGGTAAAGATTGCCCTGTGGGCTCCCTCCCATTTCCCTGGTCCCATCAGCCGGTACTGGTAGGCGGTAACGGGCCCCCAGAGAACCCTCTTGAACAAGGGGTAGTCTGTGAAGAAGAGCCAGAGGAGGCTTGGCCTTACACCAATCTCTCCAGCTATTTCATCCATGTAGGAAACAAAGTCCACCTGCAGTGGGGTCAGCTTTGAAACAATGTAACTGTGGAGAGAATAATATAAAGAATAGTATTATTCTAAAGTGGCACTAACATGGTATAGAAGTATAAGATATAAGAGTATAGCGCAGAATAGATATGCTAGAATAAAGCATTCCTTGTTTATACTTAGGTTTGATATTATGATTGCTTCCAGAGTCTAAAAATTCCAATGCTAAGTGTTCTTGATCATTGCAATATTAAAAGTCTAAAATTAAACACCTTTTAATGGCTATAAAATGTGTAAGATTAAAATGTGGTATGACGCAGCTGCAACCTTTACAGTCTGAACTTTAAAAGGAAAAAAGGAAAAAAAAATCACATGCTAGAATTGTCAGGGTATGCAAGCAGCTGGCTTCAAATTCAGATTTCTAACTGGATTTTTTAAAATGGTGCCGTTTGCTTTTTAAATGCAATTACATGGATAATGAAAATTATGTATGTGTACAGTTTGCTTACAAAGAAAAAAGAATGTGAGTATTAATTTATTTACATGTTCAGACTAATGAGCATTTGTATGTTTAGGTATTATGACAATACACCTGTCTAACCTCTCTATGCACCTTGCTAACCAATCTCACTATAGCTAGAGCATCTTCTGACATATAACAGGAGAAAGGACAATGGTAAAAGACAGGTTGAAGTATTTAATAAGACAAATAGTTACCTTTTTTCAATATTTTTTGTATCTTTTTCAACAGCCTTGATCATGGACTGGCTTGACGGCAGTTTTTTATGTCCTAGGCAGCAAAAAAGGTAATTTGTAAATATAAATGAACTAATTTGTAACTAACAGTTAGGCATGCTAACTGTTAGTAATAACAGACTACCTTACCTTTGAAGACACGAGTGACCCAACGGGCCTGCATTTCAGCCTGAGGCATGATGGCTCCAAGGGCATGAATGAAACCCACGACAGCCAAAGTAGGATGCTCTAGGGTTGGGGGGAAAACATGCTTGTACAGACCCGCACGGTGCCCAGACTTGTACATGGCGTTTTTTGGCAAGTAGGGGAAATCATAGTTGTACCCTGTGGCAAATACAATAGTGTCCACCTGTGACAACAAAGAAATATGGTATTAAACTAAGTCTTCACTGAACAAAGATCTTGGAGAAAGTTGAAGAAAACTCTTCTCTGACCTTTTCCACAGTACTTCCATCATCAAACACCACAGTGCACCCACAGATTTCCTTCACATTTGGTTTGATGATGACTGCCCCGGACAGAATCTTCATTGGTAAGTCATCATTGATTACTGGGATCTGACTGAAGAGCCTAGAGTAGAGTATTTTAATGAGAAGCAGAATCCCTCATCTGACAGCACAGCGTTATACACCAATCTGGCATAACATTACGACAACTGACAGGTGAAGTCAGTAACACCAGTTATCTCTTTATAAGGGAGCAAGTGAACATTTTGTCCTCAGATTCAATGTGTTAAAAACAGAGAATTGGCTAAACATAGGGGATTGAGAGAGTTTGTGATGACCAGATGACTGGAGCAGAGCACCTCCAAAATTACAGCTCATGTGGGGTGTTCCCAGTCTGCAGGGATTAGTATTGTTAATGTTTTCTTTTATATCACGTTGCTGGCTGGCTAAGTGTGCATCGCTTACCTTGAGGAACATCTGTAAACAGGATGGCGCTATAGGAACAAGGAAAGCTGCCGGAGGCAGCGTGATGCTGTAGGTACTGTTCTGAAGGGAAACCTTGGGTCCTGCCATCCATGGAGAAGTTACTTTGACATGTACCACCAACCTAAGCATTGTTGCAGTTTCCATGGAAACTGTGTTCCCTGATGCCTATTTCAGCAGGATAATGTGCCTTGCCACAAAGCAAAAATGGTCCAGCAATGATATGAGAAGCACAATGAGCTTGAGGTGTTGACTTGGCCTCCAAGTTCCCCAAATCTCAATCCTGTGGGATGTGTGGGACAAACAAATCTGACCTACAGAGATCCCACCTTGTAGTTTACAGGACTCAAATGATTTGTTGCTAACATCTTTGTGCCAGATAGCACTGCACACCTTCAGGGGTCTAGTGGAGTCAGCGCCTTAAAAGGTAAGGGCTGTTTTGGGAACAAAAGGGGGACCAACACAGTATTGGGCAGGTGGTCACAATGTCATGCCTGATTGGTGTATATTATAGGGAACTAACGCACTGTGATTGATCTCATTACCTTGGCCTGAGTCAAACTCTATGTGGGCGTGACACCACGTACCTGTGTTTGGGTTTTAGGGCGTACATGGTGTGGTCATACATGGCATTGAGTTTCTTCTCACCAAACCAATTGAAGAAGTTGATTGGGAATAGCTGAAACAGGATATGAACAAAGCGTGTGTTGTACTTCATGTCAACTGGCACACCATTGTCGGAAACTTGCCGGATGATCCAAGCACCACGACGAGTGCTCATGTACACCTGGAGAATGGGAAAGACAGAATTCACCAAAACTCATGAAGGAGTTTTTTTTCTATCTCTAATCAAAAGAAGATAAGAAGAACGAAAAAGCTTTCTTCAACCTGCTCTGCAACTCTGCTGGTTTCCACAGCAATGTCACCTCCAGAGTTTCCAATTCCGATTACCACCACTCTTTTTCCATACATGTCTTCAGGTCCTTTGTAGTCCCAGCTGTGGAGATATTTTCCTTCAAATGTCTCAATTCCTGCAACATAACAGAGGTGTCATATGAAAAGACTAACACACAAAGGTATAAAAACAAGACAGTTATTTTTTTAAGGGTTGATTTTTAAAAATCAGCCATATTTTAATCAAAGCCTTTTCAGGATAAATGCAAAACATTTTACCTGGGAAATCTTTGAGTGGGAGGTTAGGGTAGGTGTAGTGACCAGAGCAGCAGATCACTGCATCAAAGACATGCCTCTCCTCATGTCCATCTCTCTTTTCAGTCAACACCTCCCACCTGCCAGTGCGAGAATAGTCCGGTGCTTTTCTCACACTTTTCACTAAGGTCTAAAAAATAACAATGTAGGCCGATTCAGGTTTTCAGATATCTGCCAAATGTCACCAAAACAGTTTTGAAGAATGTGCTTTTCTCTCATTCTACTCTTCTTTGTTTTTATTACCTGGAAGCGAATGTATTTTAGGAGTTTAAAGTGGTCTGCATACATTCGGAAGTAGTTCAGGATTTTAGAGTGATGCATGTAGTTGGGATAATCAGAGGGAATGGGGAAGTCACTGTAGCACATCATCTCCTTTGAGATATTGATTGTAAGTGACCGGTAGATACTAGCCCTGTTGGGCTCCGAAACTTCCTGCAGAGAAATAGTTTTAAAAGACAACAAAGAATTTTACTCAGTTTCACACGAACAGTTTGCTTGTCAACATGTTTGTCTTCTTAAATGTAGACTTGCCTTGAATTTCCACAGTCCGCCCATGTCGTCACTACTTTCAAAGCAGGTTGGCTCCATGCCTTCTTCCAGACAAGCCTTTATGCTGGTCAGACCAGAGGGGCCTGCCCCGATCACTGCTACTCTGTGCACCATGATGGACCTGCAACCAGATGTTGGAAAATGTACCTGTAATTTTGAACATTTGTGAAATTAAGTATGAAAATGTAAATTTGTAACCAAGGAAACAGTCAATTGCACTATATTCAGGTGACAAGATCTTAATGTTAAAAAAGAAATACAAAAGAAAACATGCATAGAAAACTGTATTAATACTGAACAGTTTTCCTGTTTAAGAATGAAGCTTAAATTAGTTTCCAGCTCGTTTAAAATGCTCGAGAGATTTTTACCAGACCGAGATAAAACGGTCACGTGGCAATCCCTTTCCAATAATCCTCAGTTAGTTTACTTGATTTAAAGTAGTGACTGCAACAATTTAGAGCAATTGATGGTTTAACCATGTTTTACATGACTGAACTCTACAAATTCCTAATCCTGGCATCTGTCATAAAACATTCTTCTCAGAAACAGAAGAGCAAAGGTGACATCAAAGTTCTTTGAAAGACCTCAAGCATGCCAAATGTCCTTGGGCAAGATACTAACCCCATGTTTGCCTACTTGTGGTGGTCAGAGGGCCTGGTGGCGCCAGTGTCTGGCAGCCTCGCCTCTGTCAGTGCGCCCCAGGGCAGCTGTGGCTACAACGTAGCTTGCCATTGCCAGTGTGTGAAGTCCTTAGGGACTGAGTCCTTAGGGACTGAGTAAAGCGCTATACAAATGCAGGCCATTTACCATTTTGTCATTATATCATTGGAGCATGGTTATCATAACAATATCATAACAATGCAAAATTATGTTAATAAATTAAAAGAAATACGCCATCTTATATTCAAGTAATCACAAGCTATTTTAAACCCTTTGTACCCCATGACACACTTAGAAATATTGCTGATTTAAAAATCCCGACACACATATGGAAGCTTTATATTGCAGAAAGTGTCTATTTTTGCTTACCTTGATCTTCCTGTGGTGATTTGGTGTGCCTCTCAAGTGGGGCAAGCATCACCTGACCACAGACTTTTATACAGAGAGGGTAACTAATACACACTCTTTTTTTCTTTCTCTCAGTCCTGTCCAAAAAAGGAAGCTACCAAGCTGAACCATGTTTACCAAAATCAAAATGGGTTTGACTTTGACTAAAGTTCAATTCGTGTTATTTTAAGTAGGAAGAGGAGTGCAAATGAGTGACAATAGTGAGCAATGGGAAGAAGGAGCAATAATGATACGCACAGAACTCTATTAATGTATCCATCTATTACACATGACGCAAAACAGTTTTAGATTGGTTCCCCATTTAATTACAAATTCTTACAATCAAATTACGGGATAATTTTCAACAGCAAATTCAAATCCACGGACTATAATACAGCATAACCACACACACAGACGTATACATAAATGTGCATTATAAGATCTATACAAGTGATGTACAGTGAAGTTCATAGTATTTAGCAGGCAATGAGTGCAGTAAAATGTATAGAAGCTTCATGTTTGAAAAATGTATAGAATAAGAAATACATTTTGTTCATAAAGTTTCTCAACTGTTACAGTACAGGTTATGAGAAATGTGCAAAATCTTTCAGTACACAACATACACAACTAATTTTTTTAAACATTTTTAGTCTTAAAAAAAGAAAAGAATCAATCATAAAAATTATTTGGTCACAAAAATTACCATCCAGCATATTTAGATTTACAACCAAAGTGTAATGAAGTGAAAATCTTCAAAGCTGAAACCTTTCTCACTGGCACTGGGAAGATCATTGGTTAGTTATTGCAGAGACAGCACAGATTGCACAAGGTCAATAAAATATCTGAGTGGGAACAGTCTGCTGAGTTCATACAGGTATCTGGATCTGGCTTAGACCAACTAGCACAAACCGGTGGGAAAAAAAAAGACCCCAGAGACGGACACGAAACTTTCTTTTTGTCAAATACACGTAATACAGGACAAAAAAACTGATGTAACTTCTTGTCTCTGGCAGTACTGAGGTGTGTGTTTGAAGTGAGCAAGCTGTTGTGCAACTGACTCAAGTATTTTCTCCCTCCTGACAGAGTGGTTTAGCCATACACTTCAAACACGGCATTAAAACTCATTCACAGATTCAAAAACATATTCATAATGTTTCTTTGCTTTTCTTTGTAGTACTAGCACAACTATTTTTTCCTTTCTTGAATTATAAACCAATCAAAAAGGATTTAAAATTCCCATTCAACTTACTAAGCTTAGTTTTATAATGATGGACTGATGGTGATTAGCTGATACTGCTATTTGAAGTATTGATTCGACTGGCAGCTAATGTTCATATCCCTTCATTTTCTCTGTTGTACTGGGAAAGAAAAAAATATTTATCATTAAAAAAACTATTTGAAAATGTACTTTCACCTTCTAATCCCACATCTTTGAACAGTAAGTGAGTGCAAAATGAATGCACCGATTACAGATTAAATATTAGCCACTGCCATCATCTATGGAGCCAATGTGCATCCCTAGTAGAAGCAAAATTTCCTAAATAACACTGCAATTTTACCAGGAAGAAGAAGAAGAAGAAGAAATAAACATTCACTCAGATTTGGCACACAAGTGGAGCAGCTTCAAGGACACAAAAAGGTTAACTACGTCTCTTCTCACGCCCTCCACGTTCTAATGGGAAGGGTCAATAGCCTCTGTGACAATGCCAACGTCAAACACACATTTCAGTTACAACATCTTAACTACTTGCGTCATTTAAAATTTTATTGTTAATGTTGGACCTCACTTGGGCATTTAATCAACTACTGATAGTGGCATTGCACCAAAATGGATTAAACATCAAAATAAATCTGGGAAATACAGCAATATGTGAACTGAAAAACTTCGCGTACAGGTTCAGTCATTGGGTCGGTGTGGATAATTATTAACCCAGTGATACCTAACCCAGTGAAACATGACTGTTTCTTGTGTTTTGACTAAAAATTGAAATTCACATCGGGTTCAGTAGGTCAAAGAGCCAGGTCATCAAATATATAATTTACGAACATTATATCACTCATTATTGTAGTTGAAAAAGAGACATTATTCAGTCCTTTTGGCGATGGCGATTTCCACAAATGCATATTCCACATTTATCGATGCATCTTAGTACATGTACAATGCAGAAACAAAACCATATACCTCATGTCCATTCATCCATGAACCCCTTGCAGCACACACCATATCATAACATAATAAATGAAATAGTAAACCTAACATGGCATCACCTAAATGTGATACCAACAAAATAACTGCTTGCTGCTTTGGCACAAGTGGCAAATAAATTGTGTAATTTAAAAGAAATCAGCTTATTAGTTTTCTATTTACTTATCTAGATTATTGCCCTCATTTTTTTAAACATTGGTGGAGCATTAAAAAGAAGTAAAAAAGTAAAACTCTAGTATTGTTAGGAATTATTTCACAGTGTAGGAATTAGGACAAATTTTCAATAAGAAAAATTTAGGCAATATTTTCTTGGACTGAAATTTTTAATTTTCAGACAGAGCAATCAGGTATGGACTTGAGGAAATTATTTCATTCCAGGTGTTTACCCATGCATTCCATGCATTTGGGGGGGGTGTCAAGATCTCTGTCTAAATAAATAAATGTGGGTAAATTCCCAGATGATTAAACATCCAACTATTTTGTAGATAATAACTGAAATGAGTAAAGAAAATAAACAGTCTATGTATGCAAGATAATTCATAATTTTATTGGGTGGGTTATATTGGTTGGGTCTGATTATTGGGTGGGGGGGTGGGGGTCATAACACCCCTAACCCCCCTGGAAATTACGCCCCTGCAGCTATCTTCTAATTTGCTTCCAAATTTATCACAAAAGTCAGGAAATTTGTGTTTGCTCAGTTATTTCTTTGTTGTAACACTATATATTTCATACCGTTGGAAATCCTGTTTATTTCCCCTTAAATGCTGCCATATTTGTAAGAAAAATGCTTTTGTGGTTTGAGCAGAAGTATTGAGTACGTGGTTTGCCCCCATGAAAACCTTGCCAAATCTCCTCTGGCAATGCAAAACTTAGTCTGCTCTTTACTCTTGTTTGTGCCGTTTATTGAGTTGAATTTTTGAGGTTTGAAGACACAAGACATGTTGGCAATTTAGCAGTTTGTAAATTAACAATCGGGCTTCAGTAGCATGCGGACGAACCATACGCAGCCACAATAACCTGGCATCTCCTGCTCATGCTGGTTACCAGGTTGGTCACACACTGCTATGGGATCGCATCCCATTCTTCAACCAGTATTTGTCACAAATCAGCCAGTCTGGTTGTGCTGGTAACTCTCGCACAAACAGCACGCACAAGTTGATCCCATATGTGTTCATTGGAAATCAACGAACACCATCCTCTCAACTTCCAAACTCTGGAAGGACCCCGTTCAATGTTCAAAAGTAGTGAGTCCATACTTTAAGAGGCGATCTGACTGCTGTGGACAGAATCTGGACGCATTACTGAATGTTCCTCCACACTTTCAGGTTTCAGTGCACATGTTACTCACACCAACAATGCAAATGGGCCTTACTGTGAAGGGCAGTCATGGTAGGCCTCCTGGCGGCCTCATAAGACTGGCTGTGTGGAGTCTGTTCTGGATTGTCTCACCATATTGTCCAGCATTTTGTCCTCTGTAGAAGACAGCCTGCAGTTTCGAGGTTCTGACAGGGTGAGGAAACTGTTTTCATGTGGTGTTGTCTTCTTGTGACATGCGCTTCATGGCCTACTTCTGACTTCATCCGTTATATGGAACTTGATCTTTAATTTGGAGAAGGTATTAGAGCTCACTCCAAATAATGCTGCAATTTTATTTTGGACAACATCCCCTTGAAGTTGCTCTTGAAGTTGGCAAGAGCCCTATCCAGATCAGTCAAACGTAGCATGTTTGGAGCACTAACTGGCAGGGTCACTGGTGCTGCTAGTCAGAAGCTCAAAAACAAAGAATCAATAGCAGAATAAGCTGTTTGGCATTGGCAGAGAAGATTTGGCAAGTTTCTCATAGGTGCAACGCAAATACTCAACTCTGCTGCACAACCCACAAATGCATTTCCCTTACAAATGTGGCACCATTTAGGGGGAAACAACAGGTTCTCCAGCAGTATAAGATTTATCGCCCAGAAGCATTGCTACAACAAAGACATAATCAACCAAACTTTTACTTTTTGTGCAAAGTTCTAATGCAGCAAAGGGCTTAAAAGAAAACCAGAAAACAAGACTGAAAAATTGGTTAATGAAACTACAGATCATTATTTTTTCCCCCTTCATATACGATTATGTATTTAATGTCCAAGAGCATTTAAATGTGAATGAAAAAACCTAACCATGCAATATATTTACAATCTTTTATATATATTTAAAACAGCACACCTGTGAGTCATTCAAGTGAATCAAGTTACTTTTTTCATTAGTTTTTCAGTAAATTTCACAATGAAAATGTCTATATACAGTATATACTCCTGTAGTACTTAAGACCCAAGTGTGTGCATTATACTGCATTCCTGCCTAATAAAGACAAATGTGCAGTGTCTTATTCCATTTAAGTGAAGACAACTCTTAAGCCAATTGATTTTTGGGTGAATTGTCCCTTTAAGCAAATACACTGTACAATTCTGATATGCCAACTATACTGCGTTTGCAAATTTCTGCAAGTGATATATGTAGACGACCTGATAACATTACGGTTAAGTGTATGTAATCCTTCAGAGCTGATAAGTTATCAGTTACATGTACAGTTTTGGTTGACTAATAATGAAAGAGAGATAGTGTTAAAGTGAAACAGACAAATATATGGGGTGCAATTAATCTTTATGAGGGTTTGGATGTGCTTCCTTAAAAGAATGTTATGTCTTCTTATCTGATCAGTAGTCACGTAAAGAAGAAAAAAGGCCCTCTGTGCTCTGTGAACAAAGCTTTGAGGACATGTTAGGGCTTATATCATGATTAGCACCTAGAAAGGCTAGAGGGGGGCAGGTGAAGACAGGTAAGCAAGTTTGCTATATGTGCAGTTTTCATTTGATGTCAGCAAGTAAATGTGAATTGTGAAAAAAAAAAAAACTATTCACAGAGTAGTTATACAATCTTTCATTAAAAAACAAAAAACAAAAACCCAGCATGTCTGATTCATAAATTATAAAACAAGTTACATTCTGGATATTTTTAATTCAGTTTTTCCCGTTATGTTTAATAAATACTACTATTTAATATGTTTTTGCCATGGTTTCCAGATTGAACAACTTATTTCACTGTAAACTTTCAGACAGTGTTTAAAGCTGTGCAGCAACTCTAAAGTACACTTCTTTTGATGCACGCGAATAAGCTGCCACTGGTGGAATGTTGTGGTAGCATAACATTGTGTTCAACACATCTGTTTCACTTTTAAAAACTTTTTGCTAGATTTTGTAAAGACTGAACTGAGCTTGCTTATAAAGTTTGTGGATGTGTAAAGTAAGTAAGAGCCCATTAAACTGTGTTGTGAATGTAAAATTGAGTTTAGACTTTATATTGTATCCTTGAATCAAGCTACAGAAGTGTCATAAGTGAGTTAGAGAACTTCAAGGTAAATGGTCAAACCTGTTCTCCTGTAATCTGTTGGGATTAACCTGCTACTTGTTATAGACGAGCTAGCAGCTACCTCAGAAAGAGGGCTAGTAGTGGACTTAGTTGTCACACAACATGAAAAACTCTTCGTTTTTTGGGGTTTTTTTTTTTTGATAAAGATCTACTCTCTAGTGTCAGCATAATCTCCAATACAACACTTATGGGATGTAAAAAGTATTCTTAATATTTATTTGAATGTATAAAAACATTTATTTTATAACAAAACAATTTTTGTTTTAACACAACTTTATGCTCCACAACATTATTCATATTTCTCTTCAGCAAATATCGTTTTGTTACAAAGTAAATGTATTTTTAAAATGATCCCAACCTTAGAAATAGTGCTGCTTTCAATTCAGTGAGAATATATTACTATAAGGGAAAAAGGTGTGTACGTGCTCCTTTACTCAAATATAAACTACCATTTCCTTAAGTCCTTAAGCTGACTGTCCCAGCAGCCCTTGCAGTGTTTGAGGGGACAGCCACAGCATTTCCACAAGGTTGTACTGGCAATAGCCCATCCAGAACCCAAACATCACATCAGTCACATTGTGCCTGCCCAGCATCACTCGACTCAACCCTACCAGGCCCACCCACAGCAGAACGAGGACTCTCAACGGGGCAGCCAGCACGAGGTGAGCCAGCAGGAAGCGGCCACACATGGCGGCACGCGTGGCATGTCCGGAGGGGAAGGAGTAGCGGTCCACAGAAAAGGTGGCGAACATGTCCATACGATTATGTGCTGGCCGACGCCGACGCACCACCGCCTTAACAATGCCAACCAAGATCAGGTCCAGCAGCAGGCCTGCAGGGGAAGAAGATGGAGATATGCTACAATGCATGAAACAACAACAACAACACAGCCACATTAAAACAAACAAACAAATGTGAATGAAGCATGTTGTATGAAGTGTTTACAGTGATCAAGTAGAGTAGAAAAGCACCAGGTAAGAACCAGACCATAGACTATTTAGTCCATTTCAGTGCCAGCAAATCCTCCAGGATCTTGAAGATTAAGCAGATGAATTAAACTTTGTGTTAACCTTTATTTTTTCCTATTACAAGTGAAAAGTTAACTTGACTTGCAGATTTTTAGACTTGTAGAAGGCCTACAATAATCTGCAATCTGGTAAAGATTGTTGTTGTTTGAACCAGGGTTTTCTTATTGAAAAAAACAAAAAACAAAACCTAACTGTTATTTGCACCACAATGATATCACAAAGAATTTCACAGTATGATGAAAGGGAAAGATACAACAGCAGCACTGATTACAGGAATGACTGCAGTTTTTAAGTCGTGTTTCTGCATTGAGAGAATGAAAAGCTTTTGGTCTCCTGGGCTGCAGCACTGAAAAATTAATGCAACACTCAGGTGGCATGAAGCCAATTCGCTTCTACGAATCTAATGAAAGGGCTTCAGCAAAATGAAAACAGAAATGCACATTGCATCCATCATTACTGACAACTACTATGTGGTTACATTATTATCTGCTGCTTTTAAGACCTGAGGTTAATAACCATAGAGAGAAAAGGGTTTAGACGGTTTGCATTATCACACAGCAGCTTGCTGCTTCCCTTTTAAGCTGTTCTTTTGAAGTAAGTGCACTACTTAGCCCCCACATCAGAGTGCTGTGTAAGAGGGAGTCTTGTTCCAAACATGTTTTGATGAAGAGCTGGGATTTTACCAATACCAATGCTTACTGGCTCTAAACTACTTAAGGTAATACTTCTTAAAGCCTTGTGTTTATTTAATGCTGATATGAACCACAGTAGTTGGTGCTTACTCACTAACATTATGCATTTGGGAGGGTTGGCAAGTAAATATTAAATGATTACTGAAAGACTATGGGGACATATTGAACTTTTTATTCAATACCCTTGGGGCACATCTCTCTATTGTGGTAAATGAGGTTTAACTAGGGAAGCCCTTATTCAATAGTCTGTTATTTAATGCCCCTTAACATAAAGTTTCTGCCTGATCCAGCTTAAACGGCAGCTTAATTCAGTTTCTGACTTCTCCTTAATATCTGAAAGTGGAAAGCAGGTCATAAAATAGAGAAAATGTCCATCACACTTTGTCATAGGTCAATTTCATATGAAACTATTACTCATATTTTTAGCTTAGAAGCCCATTAAACATTCTGAAACTCTGCATGTTTGTTTTCCTATGATATTACCGAGGTAATACTGCCACCGAACAGCAATAAATGTATAATGTAAAACCACAATAAATAAGTACATGCAATCACGACACTGTGGGCTTTACTGATACCAACTGCTTAATCCAATTATGACTCTGAACACAACCTCGGTAATTAAAGAACTGTTTATAACTCGGTCTAGAATCCAAATATAGGTCTTTGGCATTTCTGGTTTCACTGCAGAATACTCCGGTCTTGACCCTACTCTTCTGAAAACATCACTATCACATGCATTTCCTTGCTGTGGCTTCACACAGCATCACATGGACACTCCCTGGAGGCAAAGAAGCCCCAGACCACTTTGGCACTTCAGTCAACATTTTACATAGCTATCCAGTTTTCCAGATTAAGACCTATTTCATATAATCTTATACTTTTACCAGTTTCCCAAGCTGTGAAGGAACATCACAAAAGGTGTAACAGGTGACATCTACAGGTGAGAGCCAGCCAACACCAATTACACAAAGATAACCCTATATACTCGTTATCTGACGCGTTATGAGAGGTGGGATCAGCTCTTCTGTTGCTTAAGTGAAGAAATTATGAAAGAACTGTGCAGGACAAATCAGGACCGGGAAGGAGCAAGGAGCTGTGACACCAAACCCAGCTCAGTGGCGCACTGATATGTATTGAGAGGGGTTTATCTGTGATTACATACGATGCTGGAAGAAGAAGCAACATGAAAGAACACAAAAAGCAGAGTTTTACCCATGAAAAGGTTGAGCATGACTTCTTGTCCTGCAGCACTGTCGCTCTTGTACAGACAGTAGGCGGTACCAGCCAGCCACGGGATACCATGTCCCGATATCTCTAAGAGCTTCATTAAGGGGCGCACACTGCCCCAGGACGAGTCCTCACAGGCACACACTCCCAGCTGCTTGGACAGCCACAGGTCGATGGCCAACAAGGAGCTGAGCGCTACGCGAATGAGGGAGGGGTTGAGCCGGATACCATCCTCTTCAGGTGGCCCCTGACCGCTCGCGGAGCCCGTGGAGGAGCCGGAGCCCCGGCGCCGAGTGGGGCTTTCAGAGGCTCGAAGGCGGGCCGTGGTCGGGTCGGAGCCCTGGCGCTGGAGCAGGTGTGGCGGTGAAGACCGGTTTAGCGGCTTTGTCAGAGACATGAACTCGTAGCGACCGTTGGAGCTCCCGAGCACCGGGCTTCCTCCGCTGCGACCGGGGTTTTTCGCTTTAGGAGAGGGCATGGTGTCCGTTAACTCACCGGCGTAGACAGGTATGTGTAGTGTAGATGCACAGCAGCGGTAAATTTTCTGCAGTGCTGTCCCGGTTGTCGCTTCTTTAGCTCATCTGTTGTACGTTTCACAATTCTTATCACGTCCAGGAAAAGATGAGCCGTGACGCCATATTTGTTGTTCTTCTCGCAAAGTATCCTGGGAAGCTGTGTTTTCGAAACTATTTTATTCCCTTAGCGAAGTTATCGCGACTAAAATTGTGTAGAAATTGTGTATTTTCAAAATAAATAAACAAATAATTGAATAAATACATGTATAAAATTGAGTAGTTTTAAGTTTGCATGTATTTGATTTCTATAAAACTGAGTTAGTACGGTTTAATATTTGCAATCTTTTTTATCTTTTGTTTTTAAGTCTATTTATTTTTTAGAGAACGTTCGTTTAATTCATTTTCTATAAAAATGATTTTTTTTATAGCAAACTGACAAGGCCTAAAATTTATGACGAGTTCGCCATATTTTAATGAATTAATTTATTAATTTTGGTCTTCGTTTTTACATTAGCAATATATCTTTCTTACACTTTGCACATTATTTTTTGAAAAGTTTTTAATTATTTTTTTCTAATACGTTTGCGTCGTTATTCTCTGTTTGTTTCGATAGTTAATGTCGAAAGATGTCGGAAAAAACCCACGTGTTTTAGGACTCTTCTCTGGTTGGTCGGTGAGCTACGCTGGACCGAATGGATCCGCCTCTATCCGGATCCATTGACATATTGCGCAGTGGGGTCAGCATTTTGCTCCTGTCCGTTATCTCTGGTGTTTGAGCTGAACAGGAGAGTCGAGCATGCCTGGACTTCTGTTGGGAGACGAATTCCCAAATTTCGAGGCCGACACCAGCATCGGCAGGATCAAGTTTCACGACTTCCTGGGCAACTCGTGAGTGTCATCTTGCAGCATACAGACGTCGCACTGTAACTTGTTTTAAGTGGGTTTTGGTAATAATGCTGCAACAGTGCAGCTTATTGCGTGCTCAGTCAGTTACCATCCCTTCGCGATTCCTCTCGATTAAAAGCTTTAGCAGATTTTTCCCAGATCTTACTCGCCAGTTATGGCGGCTGACATAGACGGCGTTACACAAGCGTGACCTATTGGTTTAGAGACACTTGTAGTTTGTCAACTACACAAACAAAAAACTTAGTTAACAGTCTTAACTACACGCTGTTAACAGGTAAACTGTTAGACAATAAAATCGACTACAAGAAGCAGTTCATTAGATACTGGAGGTGTAAACTATGTGAAACGGTTGTGTGCGTGGCTGTGTTTTCCCTCTAGTCTGTTCTCCACTGAGGTTTAATTGCACTCCTTGTTGTGTGCCTATTGTTGAACTTGGCAGTGCACACATCCTTCAAACATCCAACAATAATAGGCTCGATTGGTTAAAAGAGCAGAGAAAAAAAGAGCACTGTGTGCATGTATAATATTTAACACACCCCCACACACAGCTCGAGGTGAAATGTGGAAATGCACATTTTGCTGTGAGGTGTCCCAATAACATGATGCAACGTCCTTTGAAAAACACCCCAGATATTTAAGTAGTGTTGAAAAGTGTTCCTGTTTAAAGCACATCGTTTTTTATGGGGAGGAGAGAAGAGTGGGGGAAACGATGTGCTTTAAACAGGAACACTTTTCAACACTACTTAAATATCTGGGGTGTTTTTCTTTCCTTCGGAAAAACTGAAACATGTAGTTGTTAGCTGATTTGTAAATACCCAAGAAAATAATTTGCAATGATTTATGGCAAACCATTCAAAATTCAGGCTTCTCCTATATGCAGTTTTATATCCCTACAAATCAAACGCCTTGCAGTTTTTGCCAGAGAAAGCAGAATATTTGGGGAAAAAAAGAATGAAAACAGTCATTCTGCTATCCTAAAGTTTTGGCACACATTGCGTTATCAAAAGTATAACTGGATCAGATAATTCCAGCTTTCATCAACATGAGAACACCACCCAGTTTTGGTGACTGCATAATAACTTCCTTATTTTTCCCTCCTCGGAAATGTTGGACTGTGTGAGGCAGCCATCTGTTCAAACCGTTTCAAGCTTTTCCTTGTGCCTTTCCCCCCTCATTTGGATTTTTTTTTTTCCCTACCAGTTCAAATTCTAATCCCAAGAGGTGAACAAACTTTGTTCAGCCTCATTTGAAGCCTGGTAGTCGTAGGATATTTAGCCAAAAACATCAAAGAAGGAAACAAAAAACCCGAACTGGTTTAGTCACCCAATAATCAGCTGATCATAATGCTTCTAAACCATGTGATGAGGGGTCACAACAGACTGAAGGGCAAATCCATCGAAGTCATGGCAGACCCCAAACTCACATGATTCCAAAGCTACTTTAAAAAGACCAACAGGTAACTCCTTAGTGGATTTAAAGTCTTGTTCTCTCTGTCATACTCACAGATGCCTGTTGCTTTAGCCTGTGTTTGGAAATTACTCTCCTCCTTTTGTTCCCCTTTCTCTGCTATTTCATCCTCCTTTTTTTTTCCTTTTTTTCTTTTGTTTCGGCTCCTACTCTTTAATTATCTTTTTCTTTCAGAATATTTCTCAGTATCAGTTTGTAAAGCATGTTGGAAGCACAAGGTGGTGAAAGCATGAAAAGTTGCTTATTGTTTTACAAGTCTCTTCAGCTTGTGGTTATCTTGAACTTGTGACTTGTTTTTTGTAACACACCCTGTCTATAAAGATTTGAATTGCACACGATGACTGTTATAAAGATGATCGAACACATCGGAACTTTTTATTTTAACATTTTATTTTTACTTTTAATTGATGCTCCAAGCAGAGGCCTTGTTGAGTTGGAACAACATCTCTTTTCCCCTGCAGATGGGGTATCCTGTTCTCCCACCCGAGGGACTTCACTCCTGTATGCACCACTGAGCTCGCCCGTGCTGCCAAGATCAGCAATGAGTTCAAGAAACGAGGCGTAAAGATGATTGCCTTGTCCATTGACAGTGTTGCTGATCACAACAGCTGGAGCAAGGTTAGGAATGCACAAGTACAAACTGTATAAGAACTTTTTTTTCTTTAAGTTCTTCAGGACACCCTTGCTGAAAAGTACATATTATTGAGATATTGACCATTATCTTCAAACTCAACCTGGTATTATCAGGTTATACAATCTATCCTAAGCTTAATTTCTTCACATTTCCAGAGATAATAATTGTCTAATGTCCGTGGACTGGGAAGATCTGGTTCTGTCTGCTCCGTTGGGAGAAAAACCCTGTTTATCTTAACTTTAGTGCTCCTACATGTCTGGTCTAAGAGTAATTAAGTAATTTAGCCTTCAAGTCCCAACTCGAGTTAAGTTTCCAGTAAGAAGCACATACAGTAGGTTAAGTGCTGCAAATAGTATATAGAAACATGCACCTCATCAGAAGCACTAAATGGTAGTTATTTTCAAAACCAGCAAGGGGTGTAATGAAATAGTTTTGCATGGCAAGAAAGAAGGAATATGAAAGTAAATTTACAACCTTCAACTGGAACTAAAGTATGAAAATGATATTAAGTGTAAAATACACTGAGGAAGAAATAATGTTTATTATAATGATTACTTACTTAATTATTGTCTCTTTCTTGTTTTTCTTGTTTCTGTTGTAGTGTATATTATTATTATTGTTATCACACTTTTTTAATGTGGACTTTACTACAGCTGTTATTTGTACATTACTTTGAGTGTAAGGAATCATAGCTGATCCTGGTCAAGCAAAAAGCACCAAACTTTTATAAAAGTCTACAAAATGTTTCTCTGAGTGGATCAGAGCTGTGCTGCTTTTTCTTTTTCTTTAAATCTGTGAAATCTTCTACTTAAAATAATCTGGAGTATTAAGTGTTTATAATAGAGTATAATACAGTAGAGCACTTTGGTCACCAGCTGTGGTTTTACCTTTTTACTTTATAAAAATACAGATTTAATTTTGACTTAAATATATAATTCTACATATCATTTAAACTTTTTTTTACCAATGTAAACTATTTTTAATGTATTTTGTTTGTCAAAGAAGGTTAAACTATTATGGATTCTTTTTCTTCTTCTACTTCTACTTCTTCTTCTACCACGTTTATTCTTCAAATTAACAATGATAGTACTACAGGCGAATATACTTATGGCCTTTATAAAACATGCTGCTGTTCCTTATCCAGTAGTTAAAGATTACATGCCGAGGATCTGTGATCACTCATCAAACCTGTGCTGCAATAGTGGAGAGATGGCTGCCAGGAGGGACACAATTATTAACAGAGGATGAAATGTGAACTAACAACCATTTAAAAGCTGACTGTATCTCTTGTCTCTGAACAGGATGTGATGGCTGTTAGCAAAAACGCTGATACTGACCTGCCTTTCCCCATCATCGCTGATGACAAGAGGGAGCTGTCAGTCCTGATGGGTATGCTGGACCCAGATGAGAAAGACAAAGATGGCATGCCCCTCACGGCTCGCTGTGTGAGAAACCCATTCACTTTTTATTTTCTTCAATAAATAAAAGTAAAACAAAAAATAGCACTATAATTGTGAAAGAACAGACAACAATTAGATGCATATTTTTATTTTGCAATAAGATCTGCACTGACTTGCATGCTTGTGAAATGTTTTGGCTTTATACTTGCTGTTTTAATTACCCACCATACCTGGTAGTTAATACTTGAAAAAAGTATTGATTTTTACAGTTAAACAGAAATGTACACTTGCTGGCCACTCTGTTAGCCACACCTTGCTAGTCCCGGGCAATGTTCAGATTCAATAAGGTGCTGGAAACATTCCTCAGAGGTTTTTGGTCCGTGTTGACACGATCGCATTACACAGTTGCTGTAGATTTGTCAGCTGCACATTTATGACGCGACGCTCCCATTCCACCACATCCTGAAGGTGCTTCATTGGTTTGAGATCTGGTGACTGAGAGGGCCATTGGTGGATAGCAATGAGTCATTGGTGGATAGTGAACTCATTTTCATGTTCAAGAAACCAGTTTGAGATCATTTGAGATTTGTGACATGACACAAATGTCAAAGTTGACCATACTATCCAAATCTCACTGCCGAAATTTAGATTTATCAGATCCAGTATTGTCTTTCCTTTTTGTTGTCCTGTTTTGGTGTGTGAACTGTAGCCTCAGTTAGGGCTG